ACCATCTTTAATCTCATTGTGTTATCAATCACTTACCTAGTAATGAGGACATTTTATTTAACATAATGTAAAGTACTCAGTGGTAGGACAGAAATAGAAATAGCACCAGTAGTTACACAGTCTAATATTAGGAATATTTTCAAATAGAAGACGTTTTAAAATAGGAAAGACAAATTTATTTATAGTATATCTACTCATAGTAATTCCTGATGAATAAAATTATCTTTGAAATTCTTTTTCATTTTTAAGTAAAATAATATGTTTTAAATGCAAAGCATGTAAGCTTGCTATCCAATAATAGATCCCTTTAGTGATATAGGAGGGTTTCTCTACTCAGTACTTGGACACGAAAAAAATCGCTAAAAATTATAATTTATGGTTAGGTATAAGACGTTCAAGTTATTTTCTAACTAAAGTTAAGTTGCAAAATGAATATTGTTACAGTTTTTATTGATATTAATCAGAGTTAAACACATCGAAAAATTAAAACAACTCTGTCCAAGAATAGCTTCTATTCGTAACAGAAGATTTTTCCTATACCTGGTACTTGACGATAAAAAACTCTTTAAATTATTGATTATTACTGAATATAATATGTTAATGTTACTGTTGAAACCTAGAATGATGTTGAATGATGACCAGAAACTATACTATCTAGTGAAAAAGATTGTAATCATTGAGAAGTTGAGAGATATGAGAAAGCATTTTGAAATTAGGTCTACCCTATCATTTTTTTCATTTAATTAACATGGGGTATCTACTGGTCCCAAGTCTCATGTTCGTCACAGTACCTAGAAACTAGTGCCCAGATACTGGATCTTGATGATTTTCCTTTGATATAAATTTTTTTCTTGTTTATTAAGCTGATATCATTAATTTTTTTTTTTTCTAATAAATAAAAAAAAGTTGAAAATGATTAGTGCGATGTATTTCTTAAAAACATTTTTTGTTAGTTTTTATAAATCAGCAAAGAGAATTTGACTGTCAAAAATGTCAAACTACTGGGTACTTTATCTTAGCTTCCCAACCATTGGACCTTAGTTGAAAAAACGCACTTCAGAAATCTGTTTTCGAGAGGTGCAAGCCAAGTAAGTAAAGGCTGAGTCTTAAGCTTGTGAGCACGAGCAACCAAGCCCCAAGTATAAGAACCGTATCCTCAGCCAGTATAATACCATGACTGCAGATTTTGCTAGTATTGTATTCTAGAGAAAATAAAATGTTGGTTTAAAAGTTGAAAATCATCAGAAAGTTCAGAGAAATCAAAAAAACAATTAGTTTATTTGATAATAAATTTTGGCATGATAAATAAAATACATTTTAAATAAAAAACATAGTTATAATAAAAAATTACTAAGAGAAAAAATTTTTTTTAAGATAATACGTCAATCAAAGTTTTTGTNGTTCAAATGACAAGATAACTGTTTTTTTGTAGGATACTATTAATTTTTTTTAAAATACATGGGATTCCTTAAAACTCTTCTTCAAAAGTAATGCAACCATCTTTTCCTTCAAAATATTGTCTAACCAATAAAAAACGTGCTTACTCATATTAATATGCCATATCTACAACAGTCAAAAATTAAAATATTAAATAAAATCTTTTAGGATCCCAGAGAGTTATGTTTTGTTGTCTCTTGACATTCTGTTGTTGTATGCAAATTAATGATATGTGACGGAAGTGTGTGTAACCTCGAAAGATTCCAAGGTCACATTAAGCAATTAGGAATCTAAAATTACCTTGAATAACTTGATGGATTAAACAAAGTGTTTTTCTGTGATTAGTCCTTAGAATTTTAATATAAAAGTTCATCAACACACATGTTGCACTTTTAGGGGGTTACCTTTTTTTTTGGATTTAGTGCTTAAGGAGTTTGTAAAATATTGCTCAAATTCTAACAGTAACAAAAATAATTTAAAATCACTTTTTTACTTTTGTGGTATCGTGGGCAAGAGGGGCGCGTGCTGCCACCGAGCGGTGGCTGCGGGCGGATTGTCGTGCGAGCGTTGGAGTGCTGTCTCCATGTTGAGATGTGCCACGAGCACGAGCTGCTTGTTCAGCTACCGTTTATTGTAATTGAATTGGTGCTTAAAAATAAATAACACATATAATTAAATACATCTACTTGTTTAAGGTGTTTTTATTGTTCATTCCACATCCTACGTCAAGAAATTACAAATTGGCGATGAGGAGCAAAAAAACAAAAAAAAAAAAAACAAAAAAAAAAACAAAAGTCAACGCAAAGACAAATGAAAAGTGTTCTCACCGGCAGGAAAGGGCATGTCATGTGTAGTGTCTTGCAAGAAGTAAGCGTGCAGGTGTAAAGGTAATGAGTAATATCGTATTTAAAACGTGTGGTTTGAACAAAGTTGAGGTAGAGCAACTGGCAGCGGATGTAGAAAAAGAATTAAGTGAGAGCAGTGCATTGATAAAGGATTTACAAGAAAAGTTGAGTGAAGCACAGGCTAAAGTGAACGAAAGCATGGCGTCTAAAGGTAATATTGGGGGCATCAAGCCATTCGGCGAAGGTGACGAGTAGACGTTATGGATTGAAAGGCTTGAACAGTTTATTAAAGTAAATGAAGTTGGTGATGACAAGAAAGTGTCATTATTGTTGACAGTCATAGGAAAAGATGGCTATGCGTTGATCAGAAACTTGTCAATGCCCGATTTACCAGCTACAAAGACATACAAACAGCTCACGAAATTAGTGGCGTCGCACCTTCAGCCCGCTCCAAGCGTGATAACAGAGAGATACAAGTTTAAAAAATGTATTCAAATGGACAACGAATCAGTGAGTGCTTATTGTTCGAGATTAAAAAAGGCGGCAACTCATTGTAAATTTGGCAATGAGTTAAACGATCATTTGCGAGATCAGTTCGTGAGTGGTGTCAAGTGCTAGGCAACAAAGAAAATGTTGCCTAGAGAGAAAGAAGATGACCTTACATTTGACTCAGCAACCAGGAAAGCGCTCGCCATGGAAGCAGCTTCGCGCGATGCCGCGAACATGGGTCTGTGCAGCGGAAATTCAGTGAATTTCATCAAAGGCCAAGGTAATGGGTCACAGAAAAACAAAAACGTCCAAGGCAACAGGATTGGGAAGCACTCGTCGCAAATCAAGTCATTGGAGGGCAAAGCGTGTTATTGTTGCGGCTACACTAACCACATGGCTTCGGAGTGTAGGTATGCAGCGTATGTGTGCAATACGTGTGACAAGTGAGGCCATTTGGTGTGGGTGTGTAGAGTGAATGATAAAAGTAAGCAAGCGAGGAGAGAGTTGCGTGGTAAACGAAATTCGCAGAATTGCCTCGAAGAAGATGATTCGAGCGACGAGTCAGTAAATAGTAATGATACTCTGTTTGTGTTGAAAGGTTAAAGTAACGTGTCTTTGAATGACAAAAGCAAGAAAGTAACTATGGATTTTCTAATTAATGATGTACAAACAGAATTTGAGGTAGATACTGGTGCGGCGATTTGTGCGATCTCCGAGCGTCACTACAAAAAGTACTTAGCACTAATATGTACATTGAACAAAACGTCGCGCCGGTTCAAAAGCTATCCGGGTGATGTAATTATTCCGTTAGGTATAATTTATGTAAAGGTTTAATTCCACGATTTTTAGAAAATATTAGAATTGTTTGTCATGCCTGGGGCTAATAATCCGATAGTAGGGAGAGAATGGTCACGCGAGTTTGGGATTATTAAAGGAGAGAAAGTAACGGAATCGATATATATTAACAAGCTTAGTAAATGTGATTTGAAAAGGGAGTTTCCGGAAGTTTATTCATCATCGCTCGGGTGTTACAACAAAAGAAAGTTTGCATTCAAAGTAAAAGAGAATATTATTCCAATTTTTAAAAAGCCGAGGTCGGTGCCATATGCCATACGTAATAAAGTTAAGGAAGAATTGGATCGCCTTGTGAGGGAGGGAATAATTTTTCCAGTCGAAAGCAGTAAATGGGCTACCCCTATTGTGTCATTGTTGAAAGTAGACGAGAAAATGAGGATATGCGGGGATTATAAGGTCACTTTAAATCAATATTTAAAACTTAATAGGTATCCCATCCCTCGAGTTCACGATGTACTTGCTACGTTAGAGGGTCACGCAGTACAATCTAAACTGGACTTGAAACAAGCTTACCAGCAGATCGAACTTGATGAGGCATCGAAAGAGATGACAACCATCTCTAGGCACAAAGGGTTATTTAGATTTAATAGGCTTGCGTTCAGCATGGCATCGGCCCCGGGCTGGTTTCAGCGAGAGATGGAGGAACTTCTCGGAGATATTGAGGGAGTGAGCGTGTTTTTTGACGATATTCGACTAGGAGGAAAAGATCAAGAAGAGCACGATAAACGGTTGAGGGTAGTTTTAACTCGTTTAAGAGATGCAGGGTTGACTCTAAAGTTAGAGAAATGTCGAAATTATTCAATCTAAATTTAAATTTTTAGGCTACGTTGTCGACAAAACCGGTATCCGTGCATCGGATGCTAAAGTGAAGGTTATTTCGCAAATGCCAAGTCCCGTCAATATAAAGGAATTGCAAAATTTTTGGGGAACAATAAACTATTATTCTAAATTCATTAAAAATTATAGCATGCTCGTGAGACCATTGTATGATTTATTGAAAAAAGATAAAACATGGAAATGGACTGCAGAGTGCGAGAGTGCCTTTACGCGCGCAAAAGAGAGTCTAATGTCATAAGACGTGCTAATGCATTATGATCCACAGTGACCAATTAAAGTAACTTGCGATGCGTCACCTACTGGCATTGGAGCCGTCTTGTCACATGTCATGCCAGATAAGTCTGTGCGGCCGGTTGCGTTCGCGTCGCATACCCTGGCAAAGGCGGAGAGGAATTACGATCAATTGGATCGTGAGGCCTTAGCGATCGTGTATGCAGTAGAAGTGTTTTATACGTTTATCTTTGGTAGAAAATTAATTCTGGAAACAGATCATAAGCCGTTGGTGTTTATATTTGGTAAAAAAAAGACTTGCCTCAAATGTCGGCAAGTCAACTCCAAAGATGGGCCGTTTTCCTCTCCGGCTTTGATTATGAGATCAAACATGTAAAAGGTACGGATAACGAGGTTGCTGATTGTCTGTCGCGATTGAATAATAGTAAGTCGACTGATTCGAAATCAAGCGGTATTTCTTATGTAAATTGGGTATACAAAAATGTAAATTTTATTTCGCAAGAACAAGTCCAAGAGGCAATTGAGTCCAGTAAAGTTTTAAAAAAAGTTCGTCAGTATGTGAAGTATGGCTGGCCGAGCAAGGTGAATGATGAGTTAGCCAAATTTAAAAACAAGGAGCTGGAGCTTTCGATCGAAAATGACTGTCTGATGTGGGGCCATCGATTGGTGGTGCCAGAATCGCTGCGTGTACTGATGTTGAGGGAGCTTCATGATGGTCACATGGGCGTGGTTAAAATGAAGGCCCTGGCCCGATCATACATTCGGTGGCCAGGCATGGACGTAGAGATTGAAAAAATCACGAAGCCTTGCGAGGCTTATCTCAAGTATAATGATAGTCCGCCTAAATCAAAATTGCACGTTTGGGACTGGCCAGACGCCCCTAACGTTTGTTTGCATGCAGACTTCTTAGGTCCACTGGACAGAAAGATGTACTTGATTGTCGTGGATATTCACTCGAAGTGGGTAGACGTCAAGCTTATGCACGACATCACATTAAAGTCAACAATCTACGCCTTCAGGGAGTATTTTGCAGATTGGGGCCTACCCGTTAGCTAGTCACGGACAATGGTCCATCTTTTTGTTTATTTGAATTTGAATCGTTCCTGGAGAACAATGGAGTTCTCCATGCAACGTTGTCGCATTATCACCCTGCAAGCAACGGGGTAGCCGAAAATGCTGTGAAAACATTTAAGAAAAAATGTAAGTCGTTCAGAGGTGAAGACAGATCGCGCAAAGAGTCATTGTCTAAGTACCTGTTCCATGTGAGAATAACACCCCATGTCACAACTGGAGTGTCTCAAGCGGAGCTTCAATTGGGCCGTAAAATGCGGACTCGTTGGGACCTTCTGAGGGAGTCGTCACGTAAGAAGGTTCAACGGAGCCAAAAAGCTCAGGAAAAATTTTTTCATGAAACTAGGAACATTGCATTCGAAGATAACGAAATAGTCATGGCCAAAGACTACAGGAACAACAGTTGAGAGAAGGCCGAAATAGTCAGGCAAGTTAGTCCAGTTTCATATCACGTTAAAACGGATGGAAATGTACTCTGGAAGAGACATGTGGACCAGCTGAAGTCAGGTCACTTGAGCTCGAATATATTGCCGGAAGAGGAGGAGCAACCAAACCGTAGGTTAAGTTCTCAAAATAAAAAATGTAAATCACCGCATGTTGATAAGTCTGATTCTATTTTAAATAATGATAGTAATAATCAACCAGCGGAAAAACGCAAAAATAATAGTAAAACGATTAAGATTAAAAGTAAAGCAGCGCCCGTACCTGTAGAACCACTAAGGCGTTCATCTCGCGTGCCGAAACCTCGGCAGATATTAGATTTGTAAATCCGTAAATTGTAAGGGGGAGGATTGTGGTATCGTGAGCAAGAGGGGCGCGTGCTGCCGCCGAGCGGTGGCTGCGGGCGGATTGTCGTGCGAGCGTCGGAGTGCTCTCTTCATATTGAGATGTGCGACGAGCACGAGCTGCTTGCTCAGCTACCGTTTGTTGTAATAGAATTGGTGCTTAAAAATAAATAACACATTTTATTAAATACATCCGCTTGTTCAAGGTGTTCTTATTGTTCATTCCACATCCTACGTCAAGACATTACAACTTATTTTTATGTTGATGACTCAATTCTCTGTTAAAAAAAAAAGGTTGACGTTATTATTAAGGTTTTACAAAGTTTTAACATTAACATTCAAATTACTCTTAATGTTCAAATAAACAATCCGAAAGTAGTTTTGCACGTAGAGTTAACCATACAAATAAACAAAATTATTACTTATTGTTACCAAAATTGATATTCTTTTAAGTTTTGAACGTCATAAGACAGCTGCATGAGAATGACTTTCAAGTTTACTTTACTTACAAACATATTAAATGAGTACTTCGTGAAATAGACATTAATAGTACTTAAAGAAGTATAAAAAAAGTACCTGTCAATATTTCTACTAGGAAAAATAGGGGTATTATCGTGGTTGCTCCAATTATCGCGGTACTCTCGAATAATGCATATATTTTAATTAAACTGATAAGTTTTGGCTAGTGAACACTTAAAATCATTAAATCATGTTATAGAGTACCTAATTCATTGAACTTTAGTTTCTACATAGTCTTAAAAACTTTACATTTGTATAAAAAAAAATCACTCTCGCAATAACTGGTGCACACATAACTTCTTGCACTACGATAGTATTATTGCGGATACCCTGTTGATTTAGCATTGAAATTTACCACAATAATACGTGCACAATAATACATACACTCCTGCAATAATACGAGCATTGACGACTGATCCTTAAGACCTCTTTTTTTATCGATATTTATAAGTTTATACGTTTATATAAGTGGAATTCAATAGTTTTTGAGTCCAACATTAATAAAAAAAAAAATCACAACGATTTGACGCACTTAATTTCTTAGACAATCGTTTAAAGCTGACTACTAAAAAAACCGTGATAATGCTCCCGTTTAACCTATAAGGTTCGCATATTCTTAAACTTTTTTTAATAAAATAAAATTATACTCAAAATATTTTACTATTAAAGCATTTTTTCTAGTAAATGATAAATTAATTAGTATTATGCAGCTCAGGATATATAAGATAAACTTTTTGTACAATATTATTGTTGCATGTAAGGATCTTCTGCAGCAACTGTTCAACAAAATATGCAGGTACAACAAGGAGAGTTCTACAAAAAAAACGTGAACATCTTAATGACATTAGAAATGAATGGGTAGTTTTCATGCATTAGACTTATTATGATCATATGCTTACGTAAGATCATGTACAAATATTGTACAATGAACAGAATCATGATAAACGTTTAATCCCTTGAATGACTACCATTCTGTTTGGTGATCACAACGTTAATGAGAAAAACGACTTTTTTTGAGGCCATACTAATAAAATTTTTTTTTTAATGTTTAACGCTTCTAGTTGTGTATGTTCATATATGTATACATTCTGGAGCCTTAAATTGGAATCATTGTACCATTTATGTTGGTGTAAGTTTATGGTCGTATCAAACTTTTTCCACAAACTTGGGCCATTGTTCGTTACATTTTTATGTAAGTTAATGCGTGAATCTATCTACAAGTTGACAAACGTTGTGAATTTGACACTTTTACCCGTCTGATCTATGTACAAAATTGTTTCTCGATACATCAAACATTTCTTTCTCGGGTTTTAAAAATGGTTGTCTTTATTTTCTTTGTTCATACATTGTTTTTATCTTTGATATTGGAAAATTCCTCATTGTACATTTGCTTCTTTTAATGAAGCCTGAAAAGATCGACACACTTATCATCAAAATGTTTCAGGGATCACTCCTCAACGGTAAGGTCAGCGATCCCTGCCTGGAGCATCGGATCTGCTAATCCCTACCCATATCCCTAACACTGTTTCACGTTTACCCAGGCCCAAAGACCTGTGGGGCAAGGAGAAAACCCTGGAACTACTCTGAAGAAAAATTTCATGAAAAAACCTGCCCCAAAACAGCAGGGTATACATAGGAACTTTTTCCAATGAAATCAGTTTTAGAAAAAATCTGCATACACCGAAAATTCAACCGACGATCCCTAGAACAGCGTTGTATTGGTAATAAGTACGCTTACTACTGAGCCAACGCTGCTGCTACCAAAAATCTCTTCATTATTTTTGTATGAAAGATTTTTTTTAGGTAAACCTATTAAATTTGAAGCTGTTCCACTAGTTTTTTTTTTTTTTTTTTTACAACACATGAAAATGGGGTTTGAGTATACGTAAAAGCATGTGTGTACGTGCATCCATATAAAAAAATAATTGCCGAAGTTTTTGCATGTACTTACGCTTCTCTTACCACTCTGAACCTGTCTCTCGATAACTGTGATGTACATGCTAAAGGATGTTCTGTCGTTGATAAACGAGACAGAGATAGAGGGTTTTTGCTATCTCTCTCGTTCCCTTTTTCTCTCGTGCTTCTGATGTTGATAGCTCTGGTGGTGAACCTTCTATACATATCGACATTGCTACCATGCAGACGGCCAAGCAGAATATTGATATAATCTGTCCCATCAGATTTGCAGTAAGTAGAATGTCAGCTATAGAAGGAGAAAAAAAATTTTTTTGGAAAGGAAGACGTGTGACTAAACGAGTATACGGAAATCGATCAAAACACAGTTTTAAAGGTTAAAATGTAAAAAATTTTAACGGATGCAATAACCACCTTTCTTCCATAACAATTTCTGAAAGATTGAGGTCTGTTGATCTAAAGTAACGATATATATTTTATCTACGAACATTTACAGACAATATGACTTGTAAGAGTTAAAAAATAAATTTTGTTCTTGTCTAATACGCTGTTTAAAAATCGTCCCAGTTTAGCTTAAACTTTTTCAAGGAGATGTGAAAAATGTCAAGAGCACAACTTGAAAAAAAACAATATATGAGAGAATATTAATCATTTTGACACCAATACGAAGGCTTTAGATGGTACGTTCAGTATTGATTGATAATTGTTTTTAAAATATTGATAAGCTAACAAAGTTCCAGTATATAAGTAACTTTTCTTTAAAGGTACTTTTAATTTGGGCAGGGATAATACTTACTCAAAAAAATGGCTCTCTTTGACAAATACTTCTACATTAATTTAAAAAACTTTTAAAAAGTAAAAAAAAAGACTGGAAAACCCATAGAGTAAATGGATAGTGTCAGTTGCATGAAAATTTTGGGAAAAGAAATTTTATCTAAAATAAAAAATGTCTTAAAATTAAAAAATGTCGGTAGGCTTTCTGTGTATCTTTTTGTTAAGATATTGACATGCAAAACATTAATAATCCTCATTCTTACTTTTTTTTAATGAAGAAGATTCTTATTCTTATTTAAAAAAAAAATCATTTCTTTTAAGAAGTAAGATATATTTGTGACTGTTTTATGATTGAAAATAGTTAATTTATTTTGTGATGTTACGTGGGGCTTACGGTGCAGGAATAAGTAATAGGCGAACTTGTGGTTTACTTGTGCTTTATTGCAATTACTTATATTTGATGGAAGTTGTGCGTGTCCTAATCTCGTGGCCACGGTCCTTCCACTCTCGTGTCTCTAGCTGATCTCCCTTTTACTTTATTCTTTCGCTCTCCCCTTCCTATCACTTCTCCTCTCTATTGCCTTACTTTTTGGACCCAAGCTAGCAAAGGTGCACACCCGCATAGCTGTATGCTATCGTACATAACACGTCCGAGGCCGTGACGCTGACGTCCTTGGCGGCAATTTTCTTCTCTATCTGCATGTTTGTGGTAGAGTTGTATCTGTGTTATGTTGTTGTGTTGTATAATATTTTTGGTTGGAGAAAAGAGAATGGTTTGAAGTGCTCCGTCCCTATTTTCTCTAATGATTTATTTTGCTGTAGTCAAGTGTCAAAGATGTGGAGGGTCAAGGACTTACTGTTTAACTTATTTCTAGTTGTGTTGATATTAATTGTGCTCAAGGATGTTGAGGGTCAAGGACTTGCTGTTTGAAACATATTTCTAATGTCATCACTATTTTGGCTAATCCTACGATAAATTTTTATCGACGTGAAAACTATTTTCTTAATATTATTATTATTATCATAATTATTATATCTTTTTTTTAATTACTACTTATATTTCATTTTACATTAAAGGATGTATTTGCGTCGAAAATATCTGTGAAAAAGTACATTCATTATAATATTTAAAAAACACAAAAAATCTATAATTTCGCTTATTTTCAGCCTATTTGTATTACATACTCATAGTAGCAATTTTGATCCACAAATGTTTTATGATCGTTGTCGAGTATGCGCTGGTCATTAAAAAAAATTTTTTTTTTTTGTTACAGTTTATATCGATTTATTTTTCTCTTAGTATTATTTTATTATTAGCGCTATACTCCTTTTACATTATTGCTATTTATCTTTCAAGTTGATCCCTAGGTCACCGAGTGATGTTGCTCTCCGATGTTGTCTCATCTACTGTTCGC